TTTTTTTTTTTTTAATCCAGTAAGTTGCTTTGTTTGTTCACTCCCAGCAGCACAAACAATTGTCAAGGCCACTGAGGTGCTGGTGCCAGGGTGGGCGTGAGTGAGTGGCCAGCCGGGGGGAAAGGCTGGGGGGAGCCAGTGGCTGTAAGCCAGCGTGGCTACCAGAAGAAGTGTCTCTGAAACTGCACTTTTAATGTTTTTTATCAGAAAAATTTCCCACGCAGCTTTCCACAGCTGCTGTTGTGAAACCAGTCAAGTTAGCCATCACCCAGGCAGTTCAAACTGCGGCACAGTCTGTTTTCAAGTACACTAGGTTTTCAAGTGTCAGGGTCTCGGGCAAGCTGGCACTGCACCCTCCTTGAGCTCCAAAGGAGCATCACCAAGTAAAGCAGGCGGCCAGTCTACGTTGTGGAGGCCTGGCGTTGTGGTGGGTTAAGCGTGAGGGGCCTGGCTGGTTGTAGGTATTTGTGGAAAGCATAAATATTTGCATAGTGCTTGTAGTTATTGTCAGACTGGGGCGTTCACCCGCTGAGGAGATGTAAAGCTAGAGAGAGGGCTGCGGTGGCTGTACTTGCTGCCTGACTTGTGGGAGCCTTTGGATGAGAAAGGCTTGAAGCCAGAACCTGCTGCAGCATCACAAACTCCTGCCAGAGCAGCCTGGCTTCCAGTTGCCATTGCCCTGGGCTCTTGGGGACCCTGGACTTGGAAAGATCACAGGACTTTGAAGGAGCTCTGTAGGTACAGACCAGGATTTTCAAGGCCTGCCTGCTGGCGGTGATCGCAGGCCTTGGGTTTTCTGGGTTGTGTCTACCCCGAAAACCACACAGCACCTTCCTTCTGCACAACCCATCCTTTGGAGGACCTTTTGTTTAATGATAAGCTGTAAAAGATTTATGACATAACTTGTTTTTTTTTTTCACAGCCCGTTTTTTTAACATGGGAAGAATTGGTTACCAGCTTGCACTTCTGCACCAGTGGGTCCTGAGCCCCTGGGCAGACCCTCGCTGCGGTCAAAAGGGAGAGGAGAGGTGAGATGGGCCATGCCCGTGGTAAAGCATGCGGCATCAGAGGGACTGCATAGTTTAGCTGCACGTTGACCTCAACCTTTTAACAGACAACTCGTTGTGTATGTGGGCTTTCAAGTCTGTCACCCAAAGATAACATATATGAAACCAGTCAACAGGTTGTGGCCAGCATCTTACTCTTTGGGACAGTGACTGTTTTCATTTATTTTTGGATAACATCTATTTCATCGCGGCCCACTCTGGAATGTAGTTAGTCATAACCCAAACTTAAAAAAGAAGAAAAACCCAAACCAACAACAAAATAAAAACCCACCAAATTTGGGACTGTGGCTGAATAACCTAACCAGCTTTCTACGGTTTCCACAGCTATTCAGAGTGCCTAAAGGAGTGCATCTGAGAAAAAGATGGAGACACTGGTATTTTTCACAAGTATTGCCAATTTATAGGGTATGTGCTCAGTATTAGAAACCGTCATTAAAAGCTCCCTAAGTAATGTGGAACAATGCATAAATGAGCTGTATATTCTATTTAAGTATTTGTTGCTTTAAATAGCAGCTCCCGGCACCCAGGACTGGAATAGCAGACACGTTGCTGGATGTAGATGAGGTTTCACTGGCAGAGCTCTCTAGCACCTGGCTTAGGAAAATGTTGTTCCCTTACAAATGCCAAAGCTGCGTACCTTTTTACCTCTGTACTATAGTTTTTAAAGTTACGGTGAGTATGGCCAGCAGTTGAAGTTCATCATGGATACTTGGGATCTTGCTGATACAGACTGAAAGGACCTTTAGTCTTACTCTTTC